TATAAATCACTAGGCCAAACAAATTAGAGATAAGGTGCCTAGAATAGATGAAGCCATGTCATACATGCTCCCAACAGAGAATATCAGCTTCTACCCAATACAGACATCATAGAATCAATGATACTTTTCAGTTTCAAACCAATTAGCTGACCATAATCTTATCAGCCGAATGAGACAACCCACAATCGAAGTACAATACTTTCTGTAACTAACTTGGACAACAAAAATTAGACAAAATCACAAAGTATAATTGCACATAACACAACAAATCTTGCCATTAAATCGATTCTTCACAAATCCAGACTCTAAAGTTTTTGTGTGGCATCTAAGATAAACTTTGACCATTCTTGGATCTTCTCCAGCGTTGAGTTACAAGATTCAAACCTTCATATAAATCAAGTTGGGTGTTCAAAATCATTAGATGTTTAATAATCACAGCATAATTTTGAGCAGAGCAATCAATATCATACATAATTTAAAGTTTTGCAAGTCCCTAGCAAAAGGAAAATTACCTCAACATACAGTCAAATCCAAGGAGCAAAATATATAGGCAAGAACCATACACAAAAGAATCAAAGAACACAATTCCAGTAAGCAATTCCAATTAGCAACACCAAAACACAATTGTAGCATCAAGGAAAATGAACATAGCAGTTAAACCGAGAAAAAGTAGAACAACATAAAAAAGCAAGGATTTAGAAGTGTCATACCGTGAGAAGCAGAGTTGCAGCCATTATAATTTCGTTCTTCGACATGGGCCCCATTTTTTCCAATCTCTCCCTGGCCAGCTTTGGGGCATCCGGACTGCTCTTCACCTCCGGCGGATAAACCACATACAAAAGCAAGGGTACCACAATCAAAGACACCAAACCAGGCACAAATGCAGCCTTTGCCCAATCCATCCACCCAATTGTCTTATTTATCGTATTCGCCGTCAAATTCGCGCTCAATGGATTGGCAGCCATTCCCGTCAAGAACATCGCCGACGAAATCACCGATGTCTGAAAGCAAGTCAACATCAACCACGACCCCAACTTGGTCTCAGTCCCATCACCAACATTACTACCACAAGCCAGACACAAAGACTTCACCAATGGTAGAAAAATGCCTCCAGCTCTAGCTGACACCGAAGGTATCGCCGGAGCCAAAAGGGCCTCACTGAAAACTAAACTATACCCCAACCCTAACGATGAACTACCAAATAATGACACAAATTGATACGCAATTCTGTTTCCAAGCCCAGTCTTAATAAATCCCCGGGCGAAGAAAAACGCAAGGGCGATAAGCCAAGGGATCGGATCTCCAAACGCCGAGAATGCGGCAGCGAATGTCAACGTCTTGGTCAACACACAAGCTCCTAATCCCATCAACGCCACGGCACCGAGGGGCAGAGGTTGGGTTATAATTCCGATGATTGTGGCTAGAAAAATCGACAGAAGCTGCCATGCATTGCGAGTCACACCAGCCGGAGCCGGAATTAGCCATAGAATTACTCCGGTGGCTATCGAGGCTAGTAAGGGTTGCATTGCGGCCCTTGCCATGGTTGCGGGGCTTGTGGCGCAGCCGTGGCGGCACCACCAGCGGCGGAGGCCTTTACAGCAAGGTCTCGACGGCGGTGTAGTAAATTGTTCAAATTAACATAGTTAATTCTGTTCCGTTCAAGTGGAGGTAAGGGAAGAGGAGTTGGGTTTAGTGAGCAGAATCGGTGGTGACCGTTGGATCTGGGAGTGGAGTGGAGGTCATTCAACGGTGGGGATGATTTGGACGGACGGGGTCTATATGTTGGGAGTGATCGGAACCCTCCTAAGCTGAGAGGCGAAGTGAGAGCAAGGGACGCCATCGGAGAGGAGGGTCAAGGTGTGGCTGTCAGTTCAGAGAAGCATTTGAAGAGAGAGAAAGAGAAATGGAAGTGGCGTGAGGCAACTAATTATATGTCGACACTGAACTGGGGTCGTTTGATTATGATCCAACGGTGTATCTGTTGATATGAGATATGCAACAGGCTATTGGCTCTGAAGTTGGGATTGTCATGTAGTGCTTCGTGAACTCCGTCTGTAGATTTCGCAATGTCCGCCTCAGTCTCAGAGAGTTTCTTTCCTGACTACCCTAACATGCGCCGGATTACAAATGGACGACAATTGTTCGGCCACGTGGGATGCTTTCAAAGCTAACAGCGTGGACAAAAGTAGCTTTATATAGACTTATTAGATTGAAAAATTTAGTCTTATAATCACAACTATTAATTTTATTATAAATTTATTACCTATTTTATAATTTTGATTATAAAATTTAATTTTTAAATTAATGTAGCATTACTGGATAGACAAATAAGAGGAAATTGTCATGTCGTGATTAATTCAAAAATTATGAGTAACTCGTATTTAGGAGTACGATTCAATGTAAATAATTATGAAAGAAATGTTAATAGTTATTAGATGAGTTTATTTAAAACAGTCGAATTAATTTATTGAAATCTATTTTATTTTATATTATAGATATACATTCAATAATATTATTTGAATCTCCACTTGTCTATGGTATCCAAAAAAATAAAAAATAAAAATTAGTACATTTTTGTATTTATATCATTATTATAAATATTTTTATTAATGGTCCGGTAATGAAGAAAAATGATAAAAATAATTACTGCATTAGTAATAAAAACACCTACAATAGTGATAAAAATATTTATAAAATTGATAAATTAATTTTTTTTTATTAAAACACTCATTAAAATAGTAAATTTTAGAGATATGTTACTATATTTTTTTTGGTGCCACAGTCAAGTCCGTTGAACCTAATTAGCGAAAATAATTTTTTTAACCTAATTCATTATCGTCATTGAATTAATTACATGTTCCAACAAATAATTTGGTACATTGTCAAGCCAAAAATTATGAGTAATTAAAAATTAGCAAATAAGATTAATAAATTAAGTTTAAATAATATTATTATAATTAATTTACGAATCATTATACTATAGATAATTTTCTATTTGGTTTCCTATCATATGAATTTTAGTTTCTGAATGATGTATTGGTAACTTGTATTAATTTGTTTACGACACAAGTAATAAAACGGTTATCACCAAATAGGGTGGTCTACTAGGGTACCGACTTTACTCCTTACCTTAAGGTTGAGAATTCGAGTCTTGAAATCCTCATTAGAGCTTGGTGATTGACCGCTATACTAACTTAGTTAAATCTGGTCCTAAGAGGTGTTTCAGGCGCAATCAGGGCCTTATGATTCCACCAGTAAGGACCTATCAGGGTGGTCGTTGGGCGCCCTTCCTTGCTCCCACCCTTTATTTTATTTATCAAAAAAAAAGAAGTAATAAAACGATTGAATAAGTATCAAAAGCTCCTAACAAGATTTATTAAATGAATTAAGTAATACTAACGCAAAATAATAAAAGACAAGCATGAGAAAGGATAACTCCATTTTGTCTATATGTAGCAGTAATAAAAGTCATGTTAGTTTAATTTTGAATTAAAATTATAGCCCAAATAAGGGAAAAAAAAAAAAAAAGCTTCTCAATTTGGGACTTGACTATTTTATTCCGTAACATACCTCCAAAATTTATTATTTTTGCGGTAATTATTTTTTTTTATTTTTCTTTGATATTATAATAACAATAAAAATACTCACAAATAATTATAAAAATATTTACAAAAATAATAAATATCAATACGATACTGAATTTTTTTTTTAAGTACCGTACAATTGTAGACGCCTCTCTCAATTTGAACGAAATAAGAAAATCCATAGATACATAATTAGTTATTCGGATGGACTATTGATAGATGTGTCAATTATATTCTGTTGTGTCACTTTTGATACTTGTCTAGTTCATATCAATATTTGTATTAATATAAAATTATTTAATTCGACAACAATTCAAATAATATTATTTTAAAAATTATAAAATTCTTAATTTTTGTTTGTAATACTTGTTAAATACTTATTTTTTATCTACAGTACATATTAATCATGTTATTTATATTAAATCTTAATTTAATATATTTATTATTCGTGTCAACTAATTATATTATTTTTAAATTTTATATCAAATTGAATTTGTTTCAAATTCGTATTAACGGTTAAAATTGTCACCCACGCAAATAGATTTGGTCTCAAATTTAATGAGTCCAAATTTTACACGTGAAAGATTGAGCGGAGGTTAAGCTCCCTTCGAAGGTACTTGATGGCTTAACTAAAGGGGTTTGGCTAACGTGTGCTGGGGTGGCCAGTTGGGACCATACTGTGAACAGGTGGACGATATTAAAGCCAGAGCTAATTTGGTCGTGGGTGGGTAACTGAAAAGTTGATGTCAGAAAAAGACAGGCTCAAAAAAGCGGGTGTAAGTAAGTGAGTGGACAGTTGAAGGGAACTGCCGACCACAGAAATGCACGTGTTCTGTGCAGAATGCCAACTTAACTTGGGAAGGGAATTTGCGGCCGCAAAATTGTGAATACGTGGTGGTGGATGGAGGAAATTTTTTGAAGGGAGAGGGGAGGGGATAAGCGATTAGGTTTTGACTTTTTCAGTTAATTGAATTGTATATCAAATTTAAATTATGTTTTTAAATTAATTATTTATACTACCTAACAATTAAAAAAATTAAAAATAAATACATTTGCATTAAGAGATTACTCTCTCCATTCCACAATATTTGTCATTTTACACAATTTTTTGTGTTCCACAATATCTGTCGTTTAATGAAATCAAATCATAATTAATATTTTTTCTTCTAAATTGTACTCTTATCTATGTTTTCCAATAAGTGTTTAATAGATTAAGTGTATGCTAAATGTCTTTCATATTTTTTTCATTCCCAATACGTATTGAATAAGGGTATTTTAATTTTGTGTAATTATTTTTTACTCATATTAGAACTATTTCATAGCTTGCAAAAACCTTAAACGACATATATTTAGAAACGGAGGGAATATGTGCTATAAAAAACTGTCAATTAGAAAAACTAAGAAAAAATATTGATAAATATAATATAGACCCATTATTTTTTAAAAAAAATATATAAAATACAAATCAAAACAATTTCAAACATTATTCAATGACCGTTTAATTATTGACTAATATCCAAATGGTAGTAAATTCAAAAATCATTGTGGTATGAAAACAATCAAATAAATATGAGATAGAAAGCAAGGAATGAGGATTAAGAGATGAATTGCAACAAAAAAAATATAATAAACAACATTAATAAAACCTAAATCAATTAAAACTAAATTTTTAACACTTTTTCGAATTAAATTACACTTTTTTCTCTCATAATATGTTGATAGTTTAAAAAATTGTTTCTAAATATAATATTTTTTTTCTATTATTTCAAACAATTACGACTAAATTCTCTCTAAAAATAATTTCCTACAAAAATATGAAGATATGCAAATATTATCAAGTAAAAATGTTTTTCATATATCATACTTAAACATATTCGTGAAAAGATAACATCTCATTCATTGAAATTGGTCTTGATCAAATTTCTATGATTAAATCTAACTACGCTAACATTATCAAATTGAGAAACTGAATACATAAAATTTGAACCTCATAAAGAATTCAAGCAAAATCCTTTAAAAACGCAATTATACGAAACTATAATTATTTTAATTGATTTAGGTAAAAGTTTGAGTTTGGATATATAGGGCGTTTGGTGGGCTATTATGAGTTTCGATGGCCAAGGGGAGAAGGAAAGAATACCCGAGTAAGGGGAGACAAACGCTGAGAGAGAAAGAGAGAGAGAGGAGGGATACCCGAGTGAGGCTTCAAGATGGTCGATGGTTGATCATTGTGTCTCCGATAGTGCCTCCATAGTGTTGTTGTGAAGAGATAGGGTTTTGGTGCTGAGAGAAAAAGAGAGAAGAGAAAGGGGCGGCTTATGAGAGTAAATATGAGTTGACTTTTTAGTATTTTTTTTTTAATTTCTAAGTTTTCAATATTATGGATTGGATTATAGGCCCAAATTATTGCAATAAAAATTTTGATTGAATTTAATTTTTTGGAACTTTTTTGTAAGGCTTAAAATTTAATAGATTTAATTTTTTTGTAGGGCTAACGATTTTTATAAAATTATGGGGCTTTCTAAAAATTTGGGACCTAAAACTCATTTTTTTTTCCATGCTGTTGGGCCAGCCTTGGGTGGCTATTTGTTAGAGGCAAAAATTGAAAGGAGGAACAAAGAGAGAAAGAGAGGGAGGCAAAGGAAAAAAGAGATATCATAAATAATTGGGTGAAAAGCTCGAGATGGATGCAGGTGATAAAGGAAGCGAAGTAAATAATATAGTATCATCATTATATTGAATATTCTGAAGTTGTAATGTGAAAAAATGATTTCTCTGATATGGAAAGGATATTATTTAGAGCAATATGAACGGGGGATAAAATTTAAACATGGACGTTAATTTTAGATATGAACAGAATTTTAGATTTAGATGACATTGATTTTGGGCGAGATTGAGAGACGAATTAAATGTAGGGATGTCAATTTTTGAAACTAAAAATTTTAAACAGCAAAAACATTTCAAAAGAGCTAATGTGGTATGTCGGATCAAAACGATCTGAAACGTCAATAGTTTGAAACA